CTTAACAATAAATATTATATTAGTTACTCATGTATATTATATGTATACTAATATTATAGAGGTTTGATTGTTTGTTTGCAACGAATAGGCTCTGAAACTTCTGGACCGATTAAAAAAAAATCTTTCAGCTCCGGGAAGCTACATCATATGTTTATATTTTATCCTCAAAAATAGCAATCAAAGGGATGAAAATGGGAGTGGAAGTTTGTATATGGAATTGAAACGTTACCATAGTAACAACTGTTACTGCCCTGCGATTCTGTAAAAATCCAGACCCGAATTCGAATTCACTCATGTGTCCGAATTCACGTCATTTAGTGTAATAATTCTATTGATTCCATTTTTGTTTGGTAAAAAAAATACAAAACAAAATTGATTGAATACACGTGTCTCAGATATTCTATTCCTATATCATTTCGAAACTCACTTCACTTATGCTACGAAACGTTATTACCAATTCAAGGTTGAGCGTATGCCTCTTTTTGAAGTCAATTCGGACACCTAAGAGAATTCGAATTCGGGTTTGGAGTTTTACAGAATCGCAGGGCTGGTAACGTTTTAATTAATTGTATACTAGTCAATTTGTCATTATAATTATAACCGTCTCATGATATGAATCGATATCCAAATAAACATTTCTCTAGAGACTACGCGGGCGGAGCCGCTGGCGGAAAGCTAGTTTATTTATAAAAGTAATACAGCTGGGTAACAATGAAATGAATATGGCATGAAAATCGTACTACGTAGAGCTTCTGTCGTTTAAAAAATGAGATAGCGGCTAAAACAAGCACAGCGTGGAATAAGGAATATTACTATAGTAAAACTAAAAAAGTTAGCCGATTCGATCCTCAAAGAAGTGATAATAGCTTAAACACATTATTCGTGCGTCAGAAATGCATAGTCCATCTCTATACAAAACATGAGTGGGTAGGACGTAGCCACGACTGACGATTTGCCACACGAACCTTGAGCACCATGTGCGTGAGTATTTAAAAAAAGTTTAGTTCTCGAAATAGAAAACAGATGTCGCTGCGAATTCAGAAGAAGTGTTTAATAAAATTGTCTATGATATGCATTCCGATTTTATTTATGTTGTAATAGTGTAAAAGTCAAATTAGTTTCGAAAATAACTAAACAAGTTACACTTATTTTGAACAACAAAATAATAGTCTATCAATACTAATAATATAATGATTGTATGTTTACATTGAATAGGCTCCGAATCTGAAACTACTGCATCGATTTTAAAAACTCTTTCATCAACGGAAGCTGCATCATACACGGTAGACGCGTGTAAATCTTCTGACTCAGCTCAGTAAGTCGCTTCAGCAAAATGATGCACTGATCCGTATCACTGAATCAGACACTGACACTAATGAACGAGAGAATGAACTGAGCAGAACTGAGTGACTGTTCGGAAAGATTCAGACGACATCGTTCGGGTGTCGGTAGCCTATGAGCGCACTTGTCGGCCAGCCAGCGGCTATATTTGTTTACTTACTTCTTTTTCTTGACTTTTGTTTTTGAATTATATATTATTATCAAGGCTTAGAATGCAAAAACCGATTTAGTCATTAAATTAGTAAAGGAGTAAATCAACAACAAACTATAAATAGCGAAAATATAGTTTATACAGTGCAAATTGTCAGTCCTAAGTCTGAACAAAATATGAAGGAATAAAAGCGAGAAGGAAGGAACCGATTCGATTTTAGTGTTATTTTGTTTTATCTTCATTTTATTATATTTTTAAAACAAATATTCCATATCAAAGGTCTATGAAAAGCATAAGGTAACTTTTTAAATATTTCGCTCTCATTTTACCATTCTCCGGTAATTACGTCATAGCTACAGGACTTAGTTATTTTAATTAATTCATCTATCTTATTTCAAAGTACACAAAGTCGATAATTCTATAGACGATAAAGTGAGAAGCTGTACTTCGCTTCGTCAGATGAAATCGGATCTTAAACCAATGGACATACTAAAAATATAATTATTATGCACGCGATTATTATAAATGCACGCGATTATCATAAATGCACGCGTCTATTTAAATAACTGATATTGATACCATAATTTAAAAAATATCAACGCCTAACTACGATATTTCAAAAAGTCAAGTATTATCACATAAACTTTTTTATAGAACTCACATAAAATACGATTGCTGAAGAAAAGTATAATTTTCTTTGCTGTGACTGAAGTATAGAAGAGTAGCGCACCAATTATACATATTAATGTAAGGTGAGAGCTAATATGTTGTAGTTTAGTTTGCTTTAGTTCACAAATCCAAACGACAGCTTTAGAAAATTAGAACCTTAAAGAACTCATGCATACAACCGAAATTAGCGGAACATAAAAAGCACCGTGTTAAGATAATAATTGTGACAAGAATTTACTAACATTATATTCCAATGAAATATTGTTATGTCGGCGCCAGAAATGTGCTCACAGAAATGGTTATTTTTGTTAAATACTACTCACACTTTTTAATAACATTTTGTTGATTTTTATTTCAATTGATTATTTTTTAAAGAGTCAAAAAGAGCTTCAGGCTTTTTTGAATACTTATATGTATAAAAAAAGAGATCAAATTTGGAATTTGGATAACGACTGAGTACATTAAACATTGACCATTAAATGTCACGACATAGATCACGATATAGTAGTAAAAAACCTGCCAGAGCGAGTCGGACTTGCGCACGAAGGTTTCCATACCATTATCCATATACTCCATTGTTTTCTATGTAGTTCGAAATTTTCGAGCTCGAGTCGACTATTACTCGTAAACTTGTAATGACAACTTAAGTGGGATAAATTCCTTTTTAACTTCCTAAATATAGGTAATATTGCCATGACGTTTGAATTTTACGTTCAGTCGATTGACAAACCATAAAGTTATTCCTTGACTTAACAAAATCATATAAAGAATCCGTTATTTTTATGTTTTCACAGTATGCGTATTTATTAACATCTAATTTTTATCAAACTCGTGTACTACGAGTATAATGTTGTCACATAAATATTACTATTACAAACTTTAATTAATTTTAATAATAATACTGTCCACAATAAAATAAGTAACTATATATCTCGTAAAAATAAACATAATAATCGTACAACAATCGTTTAAATTTTTAGTATCGCCAGTTATTAAATTGATTTTATCCTTCTTTTTCCATAAGGAAGAAATATGTAAAGAAATGTATAAAAATTTAAAGGTCAACTTCGAATAACTCCTCATTATGGTAAAGGCGAGAAATAAATTAATTTAAAAATCGAGTCTAATTCATGAAACTGGAATGTTTACTTAGGTTGATTTACCTAGTTTTTCGTTTCTTTTATTTATTATTATTTGAGTCATATGTTTTTTATATCCAGAGTACCACCTCATTCTCTTAACAATCAGACTTAAAACTTATAATATTATACTAATACTACTTACAATATTATAAAAACATCAAGAAAAATAGTTAAATATATAAAATACTTCAACTTAATTGATTAAAAGTTTTTCATAAAAGGTCGCGCAATACATAAACTAATTATAAAAAGATGAACTTATTTACTAAAAATATGAAGTTTGATACATTGTATTCTATCTTCACCCCGCCAGATTTCTAGACTAATTGGTAACGTGAGTATCTCGGTGGCGTAGTGGATAAACGCCGCAGCCCACGATCGTTGTTGTTAAACAAGTTTCGCAAAGGTCGGTCACGGGATGGGTGACCAAAAAATTATTATCTCGAGCAACTCCGTGCTTCGTAAGATATGTCTAGCCGTTGGTCCCGGCTGCATTTGCAGTCGTTAATACCCTTCAATCCGCATTGAGCCAGCGCTTCAATCCTCCTTAACCATCCATAAGGAAGGCCCGAGTTCCTACAGCATGAACGTAAAAGGAATGATGATAATGAAATGGTAACACAAAAGAACTCATCACTTCTTTACACGTGACATAGACAAATAAAAACTAATACTATTGAAAAAATAAAAAGTTAACTTATAAAAGAAAAACTAAAAGCTAATCAAAATAGCAACGACTTGTTGTTAATTTTCTTAATTCAATTTACCTTGGTTGCATTAGAAAGATAACCGGAACGCATTCCTATTGATAATTTTTCATTGACATTGCATATTTTAAGCAAATGTTTCAAAATATCTAATGACACCTATATTAATTTCGAGAATAAGTTTTTGAATTTTATGATTTTTGTAATTTTAAATATAGGCATACTGTTTGACATATCATACAATAAAAAAATAAGTCATTATGCTAATATTAATTGGTTTATGCCGCTACTAATACATTTAAAAAAAACGATTGAATTAAATGCATACATCATTTTTTCTTTTATACTTTTACTAATATTCGACTATTTTTCTATCAATAAATTTACAAATATAGATACGTAATATCATTAATTAAATATTGACATTTACTTACTTGTTAAGTCACAGACTATAAAAGAATATTATCTAATAAAATTGACATACTATTATACTTAAATGTGTACTATATCTATTACAAAATATAGTGGATATATAAATGATCCGTTGAATATGTTGGTAAAATTAAATGAGTCTATTATATTTTTACATAAAACAAATCGTAAAATACTATTATATCCGCCATTTTCAATGAAATTAAATTATATTTAACTTAAAGATAAACTTGAGAGATAAATTTTGTAAAATTCAACGGTGACCAGATTCGGACCTGTGATTACTAACAGTGCGACTGCTCTGTGTATAAAATATGCGAAGGAACGGTATCCAAATTCCAGGTACCCCTGAAATATGGCTTTACAAATATTCAAAAAAAAAACAATATTTGATTGTTATGAAACATTCATTAATTAAAACATAATAAAAAAACGAATTGTCATACTACATGTTACAAAATTCAATTACTTACATATGCCTTATTGCTACAATCTTAAAGTCGTAATTTAAATAGTCATATAAAGTAAAATAGGCCGATATAGAATGAGTAATACACGTCAAAGTGAAGTTGATGTGACCGATTTGAGTCCCCTTACCAGTATGGTGGGCGAGAGATCCTTTGTTAGTTCGTCTAATACCTGAAAGAAATATATTATTTGATCACTTATCCCACATGGGTTGAACAAAGTTGCAATTTATATAACACGTCGAAAGCACAATTCTTCAATTTGTCCTCTACCGAAAATTCGAAAAATTTCGTATCATTCTCAAATTATATTTGAATAAAAAGATATCCGTGAAGATTATATGTACATCACAGGCAGTGTCAGAAATTACATCAATTAAAAAAAAAAATTTCCTTGGTATTCTACTAGCATTTCGTATCGTATTAGCAGAAAAAGAATAGGCTTTCGGGTGTCATGTTAATTGTAATTCGAGATTCGGCTTTCATTATTAGTCCCGTTAATTGCTAATACGCGGGAATCTTGTCTAAATAACAACCACGTTATATGAAAATAGAAAGTATACAAAAGACAAGAGATTAATTAATTATAAATTATTAAAATATTTATAATATAAAAAAATATAATAACTTTTAATTAGTATCATTATTAATAATTTAATAACTTTTAGTTTATAATTTATTGCATACATTTTTGAAAAATAATCAATTAATACGTAAATATTATAGTATATGGAAAATTAAAAACAGATAAGAAAAAAATAAATTTACTTTGTAATGACGCGATGACAAACGAAAAGGACAATTTTTTTTAAAACATAACCAAAAGTGATAATGAAATGACGAGACATTAGATATATTATTAATGAAATTATGTTTACTTATTGTGAACATCATATAGCAGTTGTTATTTTAATATTTGCTAATTAAATTAACCATAACAAGTAACATCAAAACGTATTTGGTGTGTGTTCAACACAATCCAACTCAATAAGTGTACTCGTCAACAGGTGTTCATTTGTTAAAGGTACTGATTTTTGAACGCAATTACGTCATCAAAATGGCGTCCAGGCGCATTAGCAGTTTGCGGGGATTATACCTAACACATCAAGGGTCAGAGCTTTACTTTGACGTTTGAAACTCGGTTTCATTCTTTCATAGGAAGGGAATTTTACACAGCACATTGCAAGGATAATAGAATAACTAAGTAACCGCTTAACGTCACTCCTGATTGCCGTATCCCAAACGAGTATTAAGCAGATTTGGCTTCTACCAATGACCCCGCCTCTAGATTTATCTGTTTAGACCAGTGGTTCCTGGGAGCATACAAGGTGGTCTGATAAAAAGAATTATCACTTATATGAAAATAAATATATAATATAATAATTTTATGTATATAGTATTTTTAAATGCATAAAATGTATCGTAATAACACTACTTACTGTAGACTTAGGTACCGCAAAATAAACAAAGTGGTCCCATGACTGTGTAAAATTGTTCCTACGAGGTACTGCCTATTCGAGTCCATCCAAAGGAAAGTCCGTCCTAGCAGTGGGGTCGTTGATATACTGATGATTGAATGCTTTACCTTTAAATACTGATCGCAAACAGCATCGGAGGCCGTGGCGGGCGGAGGCTGTGGTAACTGAACGAACGTTACAGCTGTACCGTCCGCACAACGATGCTTCATTATATTGTTCACTCTACACAACAAAAATATTATAATGAGAAAGTATTACGTAACATTTTCGAATAGATAAAAATGTATGTATAGCGGCCAGATGACCGTCTGGCGAAAATAGTTGCTGCTATAGTTTGCCGAGCAGTTTACTGTATGAAGTTCAATTAATATGTGACGTCGTCTAATATTTAGGGTCGGTGTAAATCTAAAGATATAAAACGCAACTCGACGGTCAGAGAACGTCATAACTGACAAATATATGATATGACACTAACACCCTGTTGCACAAACGATCTCTAATCTTTAATAACTACATTAAATTCTAATAAATGCCCTAAATTGGAAAATTTATAAAGATAAAAGAAAAAAGAAGTGACTTTCACTTTAAACTAATGACAATTTTACTGTACGTTTGAAGCTGTGAACCTTGCACACCTAACGAAAGATCCGCACGTATTAACGCATATTTCCGTGAGACGCTCGACGGATCTTCCGAAAGATATGCGTTGACTCTTATTTATTTACTTACGTCTGTAAATAACTGAGCGGCACCCGCTGATAAATGTTGTTCTCTTCCGAATCACTGTCGTTCAACCATTTGGTTTCTTGTAGCGGCGGCCATTCTGTCACCTAATATACAAATTATTTAAGGAAAATGTAAGTATATTGACTTTGGCTTTCAAATTTATAACGCTGTATAACCTTGTATAAACATTGCGAGTTTTATATATATTACACAAAAACCTCGCTTAATCAGATAGATTCTGAAATGGTTTATAAGTATATTTCTATCAATTATCAAGGAAGTGTTTTTTGCGTAATCATTAAATTACGGCCACGTCAAAATGTCAAATGACGTCACGCTCTTGATAATTTTTAAAAAACTGTGACGTAACAAGTACCCACTCAACTTTAATGCCTGTTATCTAAGCTACTTCTTGTTAAATTAAATTAAAAAATACTAAACAATACTTAGCAAAACTAATATTTTTCCATTATCTAACTTACCATAAAAAATACTACATTTTTCATAATTTATTGTTATTTATTGTATAGAACTCACCGTGTGTGTTGTAGCGTCTATCCTCAACAACTTCAATAGTTCATTGAGTCTCTCTTGCGCAGACTCTCCTTGTACACGCGGCACTGACGAAGAATCCGAATTCATCGATTGACTTGCCTCTACTAAGCAACCAAATATTTACCTCGGTTTATATAAATATATTAATTAGTATATTGTATTGTACACTGTGTTTATTGGTATCGGGTTGTGTCCTACAGTTGAAAATGAAAATCTGTCATATTTTAGGAAAATATGGACCAATTTGACTTATAAATATTTATTGCACTTATTTGGAAAATATTACTCTTTGATAACTTGAATAAAGTAGGGAAAATATACTACAAAAATTTGCTTAAATATATGGCATTAAATTAATTACATAAAACAGAACAACTTTCATTCTACCAACTATAAACATAAAAGCACAAACAACAAAGATATTACATATATTGCCCAGACGGCGATACCTTTTTCGTTATCGTGTGACGTCACTAAGTGATTTAAATTTGTAGGAAGTTTTCAGCAGACTAACATCAGTTCTATAAACATAGTACCGTATCCCCTAAACTATTATTCGCAGACATACTGTTTCTTATAGATTATTTCTCAGATATTAATGAACTATTTATGTATAAAATAAAAAATGTTGTCACTAGTTGACAACCTACTATGCAGCAGTAGAATACCCTATTTTGGTTCGTAATTTTATTGTATTGTTTACCCTATTTTATTGTGAATTTACGATGCACGTAAGCTCTTTTTATGATGGGAATAAATTGAATTATCTATCTATATTTCACCTGTAGCGTGAGCTAGATGTGCGCGCAGCCGTAAATGTTGCCATCCTCTCGCGGACCGCACCACGCACGCAAGTTGGAGGGTAAATAGCGCGCGCACAGTAAACGCCTCCTCACTGCACGGCGACAAAGCCTCCACTAGCCACACATCGATGTACTTCAAGTGGGGGGCTTTGCTGAAACAATCCACCTACCACGTAATTACACTGATTTGACTAGCATTCGCATGAATGAATCAAAAAGTTATCAACGTTAAATAATATTTAGCATTGCACTATATTTGCACTTGCATACCGAGGCCTCGTTTTAGGCTTAACTTGCTTAGTCTTTTTTTAACATGATTATTGGAATAAATTTATGCTAAGATTGCATTAGGCAATCTTAGCTTAAATTTATTCCAATAATCATGTGTTCCAATTAATTTCTCATGACAATGATATGACATTCGATCTAACGCACTCAACGGATGATCCGTCGAGTAATAACGCATACCTCTGTGACACGCACTTCGGATTTTCCGTCTGGTAATGTTTATATCCGTCCTCTAAGAATGCTCTTTCGCTTGATGTAAACGGTTCTATAACGTGCGAACAATTGCTTAAAGCGTTCATGCGTGTTCGGACACGCTCGCTCATCGGATCGGGCTCCCCAAACCTTACTGTGATATAGTGATTTGAGAACATATAGCTATCGATTACATAAGCATTCGTTTGGCCTAAACGTTGTGCAAAATTCTAGTTCTTGGTTCGAGCGTTCGAGGAATGTTTGGTGAATTTCTTTTCAATATCAACGAGATTTTTTTTATATATGCATGATATTTTATATGAGATACAGTCTGGTGCCAGATAGACGGCCGGATAGCGAAGTTTTGAAATCCCTCTATGGTTCCCTTTTTTATTCTTTGGGTACGAAACCATATAAATTAAACAAAATCTTGTATTATTTTTCGTATAGGGTAGTGAAAAAATAAGTCACAAAATGATGTAAAAAAACATACACAATAACTAAAATTTACATCGTAATAAACACTGAGATTCTGAATTTAATTCTTAAAATCGCACGATCATCATAAATTAAAAATCGTGATATTTTTGTCTGTGTATCACGTGACTTGAAACACGACCCGCCATTGTGTGACGTCACTGTGGCGACAACTGTCAGATTAGTGATAAAAATATGCTTAATAATTATAAATCAAATTCCTAGATTGTGCTATTCTTAGCTTATTTATATCTTCTTCTTTCGAAACCGATTGTTCTTGTTTTTATTGACATCTTTTAATCTTTACACTATGCATCTATTTTGTATACATATCACAATGTCAACGTTTTCGCGGGTATAAAAAAGTTTAAATTTTGATTTAATTTTAAGGCAAGAAAATGTGTTAATATTTTAGAAATATTTTTAATAACGCCTTTTCAATAAAAATAAACAATTACAAGTATTATTTCAAACAGTTACGCTATCATAAACATACAAAAGTCATAATTACCGTTCAACAGCGGCCATGTCCAATCTTTGGAATCCTCTACACAGACATATGTTCTTGTTAACGCACAGGACATCCGAAATAATTCGGACGTAGGAAGCGGAGGAGATACTCGAATCTGTACCGCGACGGACGGGGAATATCACCTCGCCGGTGTCCAAATCGAACTGATCCGTCTTGTACGGTGAATTCGGACTGAATATGAACAAAAAGACAATCACTCTTAATGCATACACTCATGTACTTCATCATCATCACCAGGCTTTAACGTCTCCACTGCAGGGACTCAGGCCTTCCTTACGGATGGTGAATGGGCCATGACCCTCCACGCTGGCTTAATGCAGATAGGAGGGCATTAACGACTGCAAATAAAGCCGGAAGTAACGGCTTAGGATACCTTACAAAGCATGAAGAGATAATCATTTTTTGTCACCTATCCCGTGACCAACCCTTGCGAAAGTTCTATGATACCCAAATATGAATAAATATCATTCCCTTCCACCAACAGTTTCTAATGGGGAAACAAAATTTGTGTTTATTTAATTTTCCTCAAAATTTCTTCATAATAATAATAATATTTTGCAATGTTACAGTAGTCAGCTACTCACTCTCTGAAGAAATCCTTAGGCGGTTCCGCATCCCTAAAGCCCAACAGCACCGTGTCCGGTTTCATAGCTCCCAGCCCGGACAGACGCGTGAGGTGAGCGGCACCACTCCGGACAGATTCAGCTAAACACAACTCTACGAACGCTTTCACCTACGAATTTTAAGTTAAGTTATTACCCTTTTAAGTTATCATTTTCAATATAATATGCCTGGTTTGTAATTGCTAGTGTGCCTGGCCGCCAGTTTGATGAAGAATTTGTGTTCAATAATCAGTACCATTAACAAATAAACACTGGTTGACTAGTACACTTATTGATTTGGGTCGTGTTGAGATCACACAATCGTAATTATTAAATTTTGTTATTACTTGTTATATAGTTAACTGAAATGGCAACTACTATTTACAAAAAATAAATATATCTTATCTCTCTCATTTCATAATTACTTTTAATGATGTTTTAAAGAATCGCCCTCTCCTTGAGTTATTACGTTATTAAAATGATTTTATTCCCTTTTTTTTATTTGTTTTCCATATATCTCAATATTAACATATACATATATTAATAAATATACTCTTTTTGAAAATTCTTGCAATAAATTAACAAAGTAAATGATTATACATTTTTAATAACGATATTTTGGAGATTATTCATAAATATGTCAATAATTAACAAATATATTATCTATTGCATTTTATGCTATCCATATTTTCTATATTCAAACGAGGTCACGCGGGTGTTATTTAAAAAAGTTTCCAGATCATTAGCATTTTGCAAGACTTATACTTCCATTGTCCATTTTATGTCAATCAAAATAGCCAATTAGATATTAAAATTGTGTATTTGCATTTGGAAAAGAAGCACAACGAAATGTAAAACATATAATAAAACGAATGATGCTTTCACATGAACGTAATTTTACTTGAACCTTAACGCGTTGGACGAAAAAATTTCGAATCGATTGCAGAAATGAAGATCGTGATAATATATTTTAAAAAACTTAAAAGTTGGGTACTCACTTTAAGATGATCGATCAGCTTGAGCCAGTACTTGTGTTCAGCGGCGAGTGGGTCACCGCTGCCGTCCAGCTGACCCACCCTCACGTGACCCAACACGAACAAACCACCCTTGTAACAACATTGTACAGTTGTCAGTACATTAGGTAATACAAACCTATCAAATTTCATCACTCGATTTTAAACCTTAATTCATTGAGGGTAGAGTTAAAATCAATTGCGATCTTTTGAGATATTGTGGCATCGTGCTGCTGTGTATACATTTCACTTTCCGTTGACTTGGAATGATGAAATTCGGCAAATAATAAAGTTTAAGGAAAAGCCTAAAAACTATATATTTATTATATTTAATCAATTTTGCATTCAAAATGCTACACTGAAAAATATTTCTTAATGAAAATACTCTCACAGCAACCCATCTCAGGGTTACAGGGATTCAAGTACATTTTTCTTTATGAACTATTTATTTCTATTTTGATCATAACTACTATATTTTGGAGATTAAAAATGCCTAAATAATTCACCAGCCTAAGTAATCCTTCGTAATCCGGGCGACGGATACAAACCATTGAGCCACCCGAGACCCAACAGGACGGACGAATTTTTCGATTAGTTCAAGTGAGGTATCTAATATTAAAAGGCATTAAATATTTCAAAAGAACTATTACTTATTCGTAAACGAATAAACGCTTATTTAATTTGTAGATATAAAAAATACACGTTTATTTAAATTTAATTGACAGTCATATCCACAGAAATAAATCTAGTTAGAAGGAAAATGTTCGTCGATTTATATGGAGACCGAGCGTGCCACATTTTGTGTAGGTATCATGACGTCACGATCTTAATTTAGTGATGGAAGACATAATTTCACTTGCATCGAATACATGTTGTATTTGAAACGGCATACCGATTCTTATCGATTGAAAAAACGATATCGATCGACGGAGACCAACGTGTACAGTCTGTCTATAAAGTCATGAAAAGAATGTTTGAGGAACTAACATTAGACACAAGTATGACAACACTGAATCAAAGTACATCGACTGTCAACAACTTGATTTTTTAGCTCGATTTTCTGCATTTTTGATTTGTTTTGATTAAACTGAAGCTACTTCTTCTAAACTCCGTCGAAAAGTGTTAAAAATGAAGAGAATTAATCAGAGTGAAGCTCGGGATATTATTTATAAAGTTTTTCAGTGATATTTATTGTAACAAGAAGCTGGACACATTTTATCATATTTGTAGGATGTTAAAGCTCGAACGGCAGTTATGGCTGGTATGTAATCGTGTTACTGATTGAGTTTTGGTTACCAGAAGTTTCAAATTTACTAAATATATGAATTTAAGTCTAAAAGAAGTATTGATTACGTTATGCATTTATAGGTTAGATTGAAAATGTTAGAAGGCTATATTGTAGTGCGGGCCGAACTTTCAATACTTTTGGATAATCAAATTTATCATCGATTTTAATCTGAATAAAAAATATACCTGTTAGGAACGATTTTTTAGTACGATTTTTACCTACGTACGCCAATAAAAAGTTTGTGCTTTATATTACTAAAATTATAGCATTAATTTGATCATTGTGGCGATTCCATTCTTTTTGCCCAATACACAATATAGGTATTACATTTTTAAAACTTACTTTCAGGAAAATCAGAGAATATAGTGATACGTATTGTAGATGAAGGTTATAAAAATGGTGGCATATTTGAAACCCCTGGGAAACATAGATAGTCGTCCTAAGAAATAAATGGTTAACTGCAACATTTGTGCACTTCGACAAAAGATTCAGTTCTTTTACTCTGTGAAAAAAAGAGGTACCTACATGAAGAAAACATCAGTGGATTGCCAAAACCGATCTGGATTTTAATTGTAGCCTAAAAGTTCTGCGTTAAATTCTGAAATATATTGGGTTTTCTTACAAGGAGTGTCAAAGTAACAGGCTTTAATCGGACACAAGTACACATTGCAGTAAAACGAGAAAACAACTTGGCAATTATATAAAAAAAGATTTATCAAAAATTACGATTACTATATTGTAATCTTCAATGTAGAATAAACTCATTATCTACGAATTATACGCCTTTCTTTACCTTTTCTGGGGTAATAAAAGTAAAAAAAATAAACCTACTATCAAAATCATTTGTCTCACTACACAGGGTTGCTACGTGCACGATCGCAGCGCCCTCAATTTTTTTCATGACTTTATAGACAGACTACCATTTTGCTTAAATATTATGTATATGTCACGAACTCACGAATGTAATTTAGTGAATCGGCGCAAAAAAGATTTTATGCGATAGAATAGAAATCGTCATTTTTCTGTGGGCATACACTTTGCAGTAGCCGCTACCCCCACCCGACACGCTACACATTTTTACGTCCTGTGTTGTTATGTTATGTTTCACGGCGGGCTTTTCTGCAACTCGATACTCAGTGCCTATTTTGCATGACACGGGGTTGCTTTAGTCCTGCCACCCCAGCTCCTCCAGGAAGCCCGTAAGATCTCGAACTCTGCCGCATGCTTCCACTAGTACCTATCCTTGGGCTTCATAGATATGTAATCCTTTAGTCTTAATAGGCTCCTGCATTCCAGTATCACATGAGTGCACAAGCGCTTATGTGATACTGGAATGGAGACTGAGGAGACAATCTCCTCAGTCTCCATGCACGCCCTGCTCAGAGGACTGTCAGAATAACCCATGTTATATAGGTGTTTGTTAAAGTTTCCATGTCCAGTAAGTATACCTACTATTTGCCTTAGAGTCCTGTTGCTTCAATCCATTTATTTTTAATATTAGGATCATACGGAAAACTAAAACAAAAAATTACAGTATAATTCAATATAAAATTAATTATCCTTTCTTCTGCTTTCAAAAACGATATTTTTTAATCGGGTAAAAAAATCGCATTGTACAGCACTATTCTCCATTTTTGACAGATAAAATGATAATTTGTCCTCCAACAAATTGAACTTGAATTATACATCGATGGTTTTTACAAGCACAGCAAATTTGGACTGTCAAATTAAAGCCGCAATGGAAAGCTATTACTGGACACATGACCGTTTTGATAAAAATAATACGGAGCAACAAAACTAATGATTTTTAATTCAAAATAGATATATCAAGGCAAACAGTTACTTACCGATGGAAGGAAATACCTCGACTATAAGATCCAACCATATTGGTGGTGTTTGAGCACGTAATTATCGAACAACGCATCATTTTAAATTTCGTCCAACACCGATTGCGATCGAAAGTGGACTGAGCCTCGCGGCGAGCAATGAAGCTGTCTAGACGTCGTTTCGGCACGCGAAGTACGTACACTTTTTCCTTCTAACTAGATATATTTCTGTGGTCATATTAAATATATAACTCTGCTTTGTTTCAATTATACATACTAATTTGATAAAGGCATGATTTATGTATCTTTTTGTTGTCATATAACAAACGTGATTTTTTTGCGTTCTTTTATAGGTCCATTTTTTTATTTATATTTTTTATTTTGTCGCAGGGTTTACTCTAGTGTCGGGTAGTGTAAGATGCAATACTGACCTTCTTCTGATCGTTGACAAAGTCTATAAGCGGCGCGGCGTGTCTTGGCGATGCAACTAATAACAACATCTGCGGCCGCCAAAACTTAACGTGCTCACGCCGCGGGTCTAGCAGCAGCAGGTATTTACGAACCTAAAATAAACCTATATTATAATGACATAACTTGGTTTTGACGCATGTCACTTTTGCAGGATGTCTTTCTTTCACTTAAAGGCTGATTTACATCATCGATGTCAAACGAGAGAACGCTCATTCTATCCCCACTCTATTAAATTCACTTAGTGTAAACAATCTTAGAGCATTTGCAAAAATAATTTTAAATTGATTTTTTAAACATTTTTAATTAAGAATATTTTCCATTATTGTTTTCATTTAGCTGGAATAGTAAAATCAATCACAGAAAGTGTATAGGTATGTACACGGAATAGGTATTATTTAACCAAAGTAATACCTGATGAAATATCAACGCCTGACTGAGACTCCCCCACTTTGGGTCAGCAGCAGCGGGCGACAACAAATGCAGGGCTACCACCAAAGTGCAACAGGCCAGGGCTGCCCCCAGCGTGTACAGGGGACGGAGCGCCAACATTAACGCTGCACAACCGAGCAGGCCCAATAAGGAAGTCAACCATGAGAAATGCTTGAAGGTAGGCCTGGGAAACAATGAAATACATACAATCAAAGAAATGAAAATTTCATAAGGAAGATTTGCTGTATCTAGAGACATTTCTATAGAAATCTATCTATATCTTCAAGCCGTAACCCTTGCGGGGTATACAGGGAAGACCGAACGCCACAACGTGCGGTCCTTACATACATCTTTCTATGTCAATCATTTTTTATTTATCTCCTATGTAATAAAAAAATATAAAACATAAAATAAACATGAATTACAGTAACATAAAATTGCGTTCCTTAATTTAAAAAGAAAACCTGATAAGTAAATATGTCATCATAATTTATCAGTCCTTTACGTCCCCACTGCAGGGGCTCAGGCTTTCCTTATGGATGGTTAAGGAGTATGGGCCATGACCCTCCACGCGGGCCCAATGCGAATTGGAGGGCATTGACGGCTGCAGATGCAGCCGGGAAAAACGGCTTAACGTACCTTCCGAAGCACGGAGTAGCTAGATATAAAACATTTTGGGCACCCATCCTGTGACCGAACCTTGCGAAAGTTGCTTAACAATAACGATCGCGGGTCACGGCGCTTATTTACTACACCACCGAACTACTCTAATGCATACCTGAAATTAGGCGCCGACGCAAGATCAAGTCCTAAACACGCCAGGTTAATGGCAAAGTAACTCGTCATGAACAACACGGAATTCACCTGAAAACAAATCACTTCTTTTAATTCTACTCTTATTAGATGTTAGCTCGACCTATTCTGTTAACACTAGAAAGACGGGAAAATTCATCTACCTACAAAGACGGCGACCGGTCAAATGACTGCCCCAATTTATTTAATTTTTTTTATTATTTATTTGCTAAAATTAGTAACTATAGTAATGAAACAGAGTATAATATAGGTATAATTATTTATTTAATTCACATACAATTTTTACATTTTAAGATTTTATTTACGTTACAAGGGCCGCAAAGTGGCTTTTTGCAAGAGTCGCATAATTTATTTGTTTTATTTTTGCACTTTTGCATATAGCATTCTCGCCTTTTTCGACTTTCCGGATTTTGAAGTGTAGATCGAGAAGTAGAAGGTATTGGTTCTTTGGGCGATAGTTCGGTTTCTGAGGGTCTCGGTTCAATTTCTACTTTGCCGCTAAGTTCACTTGCTAAACTTAGTATAAAATTCCTTCGTTTTATGTTGGTGCCTGACATTTTCTTATATAAAATGAAGGAATTTATCCCTGCTAGGTCCAAAATATTGAAAAATACCTGTACAGGCCACCTTCGAGATGCTGCTTTGACACTATATTTTTTTGCCATCTGGTCAGCCACATCCACGCCGTACTTGGTAGCATTGTAAAAAGTCACAGTTTCTGGCTTTTTCTTAGGATGATTTGAATCTATTTCAACATTGTCATGTAACGTGCTGAGCAATAAAACGTTCTTGTTTCGTTTTCCTTGATAAATCGTAAGAGTACATCTATCAGATTTCAGAATTTTTGTTTCAAACAAAGTCATATGAAGTGATTTGACGTAAGGTGGAACCTCTCGTCGTGCCCTGTTCAAAGTTCCTACAATTGTAGTGCGTTTTGCGAGCAAGTTATTTGCCAAGCTCAACGATGTAAAGAAGTTGTCAGTGGTTACATTCCGACCAGTATTTGCAAAAGGTTCCATGAGGCGCATTACAACGGATTCACTGAGGCTTTGATTTGGTGGCCTGCTTTCATCTTTTCCTAAGTAAGGAAAGCCGTTGAGTACAAATTTTGAATCTACATCAACACAAAGCCAAAATTTAATTCCAAACTTATCAGGCTTGTTAGCAATGTATTGAAGAAACCTGCATCTAACCTTAGTAGAAAACAGTTGTTCGTCTACTGTAACGTTTTCTCCCGGCTTGTAGCACGATAAACAGTTCTCAATGAATTTCTTCCAAATGTCTGATATTAGTGCGAATTTGTCTTGTTGAAGTCGTGAACTTCTCTCAGATCTGTGATCAAATCGCAAATACTTCATTATTTCTTTGAATCTGTCACGTGACATAACTTTTGAAAAAAAATTTATTCCCCAAGTTTTACTCCACAACTCATTTACTTGAATATTTTTTGCACCGTATGCACCTCGAGCATAACATAAAGCGATCAAACTTTCCAGTTGTTCCAAAGTTAGTATCCAGTTATTGTGTCCTAGTTGTCTATTAGCTTCTTCTATAGTACACTTCTGAATATGTCTCAATATAGATTCATCAATCAAAAGCCTCCACGAGTCTGACAAATGTCCCTTGAAATTTCTTTTTGCATATGAGGTAGGCCCTGCTTGCTCAGTTATAATATTGTGGCGTGCCCGGCGACCACTTTGAGTAGATTCCATTTGAGGTGTCCATGAGGTACCGTCGATAGAAGTGATAAGACCTTGAAGCTCAGAATCTTCCAAATTATGACTCCTACCACGACCTCGACCACGAGCACGGCTGCGACCGCGGCCACGAGAACTCAACCTGTCAACGGTTCGTAAAGTTGCTAGAGGTATCTGATCTTCCAGGTCACTTTCATCCGTAGAGGAACTCGAACTGATAAATGGTACATTATCATCCTCACTACCCCGTTCTTCACTCTCAGACCCACAATCCGATTCATCTTCACAAATATTTTGCAATATTGAAAGGATTTCTTCATTTTGAAAGGCTCGAGACATTTTTCACGAATCACTTACAATAATTCTGACAAAATTGATAGGCAGTCGTAACTGTACTGACTCATTTGACCAGCATACTCCAAACAATGGACAGAGCGCACATTATTTCGTATTCTACCTTCTCATATTACAAATAAATACTTATCCGATATCAACCGTCAAATGACTGCCGCCGTCTTTGTCGGTATATCAAGATTTTAAACAATAAACAAAAGAGACGAAAGTTATTTTCATACATAGTTTCATTTATCTAGTAATATTAATAAAAGTCATAAAGTCTCAGTACATAAAGTTAAATAGTTTTTGAGTTATTCAAAATTTAAAATCAAATTACAGTCAAATGACTGCTTCCGTCTTTCTAGTGTTAACGTATCCAAGCCGGGGCCTAACTTTAAAATCTATCATAATTCCTTTCAAACGTATAGCGGTCATAGTGATTGATGGAATTGTGTAACTTTTGAGACTCACTATCACTTTCGGAATGAAAATGATGATTTTAATGATATAATTATCACGGACAACTCATTTCGTTTGACATTTCCAAATAGCTCTCAAAGATATTTGTAACTATCACTAACAGGTATTGTCAACAATTCCGATTAACGTCAAATAAACGTTATCGTTCATTCAATATCTTCCAACAAAACGGCGCGATTGCAAATAGTTGTAGAGTAAAGTTCGTGAATATTTTGCAAAAGTCAAATTCAAAGTGATTGTGATAGATTTTAAAATTAGACCATTAGGCCTCTGTTCCCATTATCGATTCCATTTATAAGAAAAGCTTGTGTTCCACTAGTGGTGATGTAATAAGCTGATGATCGCAATGATACAAGCCGTCTGTTTGTTACCCGACTACCGCGACGCAAAAAGGAGAGTTATGATTATGCCGGTATGTATGTACCGGCCATAATCATAACCAACGTTCATCTGTTCCCTTACAAGATGAAAAGCTAAAACCATACCATAGTACCCAAACATGAGGCAATATAGAACTAGTACCATAGTACCCAAACATGAGGCAATATAGAACAGTATAATTCCTACATTGACCCGACCGAGAATCGAAGAACCGGTGGACCTAAGAAATGTTTGAAACCGTACACCTTGTTACACCTTGAAACCGTACGAACCATAGAGAGATCGACTAACATTGTTGCGGATCTTCCTGGATCTTGAACAGATTTACACGTAGCTAGCCGATGCTTGGACTGTATAATTGAAACTTCCTTCGATGGTTTTCACTTCTTCTTTATTCTTAAATCTTGAGGGCCGGAGAGCTTACAAATTTCGCTCAAATCGACCCGTCTTACATTTGTTGGGGTGGCTCGCACTTAGCTCCGTATATTATCAGTTGGTTAGCCTATTACACATCTAACCCCTACTTTGCGAAGCCATCCCCCACCCTTAACATCTATGTATCACATTATTGTTAATTACTACGTTTTACTGTTTCTACATTTACATCATAAATCACGTTAAAACATCATCATATTATTGTTACATAACTCGTATCGTGTCGGGCAAGACCGCGCCGTCGAAGCTCATAATCATTCTAAGGCGCGCCGCGCTCTTGCCCGATGTATTTATGTGGTCAGAGCGAGACGGAAGATCCCGCGTAAACCAGCGCCGTCTCGCTCCGATACATTTTTATTGTTAACATGAAGGTAGTCGAACATTTTACATTTTAAACACCCCTGTATCGAGGCAATACCGTATAGAAACCCACATAAGCTCCCTTGACTCGGGCAATACCATATAGAAAACCCACATAAGCCTCCTTGAGTGAAGCAATACCATACAGAGAGCTACCTAAGCCTCCTTAGCGAGGCAATACCTTATAGAAAACCATAGCAAATAAAATCCAACCCCTCACAATCATTTAATTTGCTATAACTTAAATTATCTTAATACTAGGGGAATAAATACACCCATAGGTTGTATCATTTAATTCTAAGCTTTAACCACATTCATTTAACTAAACTTACTTATTATATATAATTTACTTAAGATCATCTAATATATACAACTCGACGAGACGTGCGTCCGTAACAGAGCTCCCCCCGGCGCAGCATCCGCGTAGCCCCATCACTCCATCGTCAGGACCGCCAGTCTCGTCGCCGGTCGCCGGAACGTGCCACCCTTCGTCTTCACCTCCACATTGCGTATCTCGTTGTCTGGTCCAGGATATACTTTGGTGACGACGCCCCTTGGCCATATGTTGCGGGGTAGTGTGTGATCCACAACTATAACCAAGTCACCCTCTTGTATCGCACGACGCCCCGCGTCGCGGGCACCTCCACGTGGTATGAGCATGGGAAGGTACTCTCGTAGCCATCGACGCCAATATTCATCGGCCAGCGCTTGTGCTGCCCTCCAGGTTCGCTTGTCGGCGCGCTCGCACGGCCCGGTAAAGGGCAGGCCGTTCGAACTACCCAATAAAAAGTGATTGGGCGTGAGTGCTTCTGGATCTTCAATATTGACTGGTACGTGTGTCAGAGGTCGAGCGTTTAAAGTGTATTCGACCTCGGTCAGTAGTGTGACTAAGACTTCCTCTCGCGGCGATTTTTCATGTAGCGTCACTCGTAATGCATTCTTGACACTTCTAACGAGACGTTCCCATGCGCCTCCTTGGTGTGGCGCGCCTGGTGATATGTAACGCCAGTCGACTCGTTGTGTAAGCGCATAGTCTCGTAGTGCCGGCTCCCATTCATTGTATGCGTCCCGTAGCTCACGGTCGGCACCTCTAAAATTCGTCGCATTGTCACTATACATTGTCTTAGGCCACCCCCTCCTCGCTGCCATTCGTCGTAGTGCCATAATCGCGGAGTCGGTAGACAGGCTCCCCACCACTTCGATGTGCACGGCGCGGGTTGAAAGGCATGTGAATAGCGCCCCCCACCTTTTCTCATGTCGTCTTCCTATTGTCACCGTCATAGGGCCAAAATAATCGACGCCACAATTACTGAATGGTCCGATAAAGGCTTCCAATCTTACTTGAGGTAGATCACTGTGTAC